GTAAATAAATGTGTAGGACCTACACTTGGTCCCTACAACGTGTTCACTTGAGACACAAATTACAACACCGTCAACATCACTTGTCAGACAAAACAAACCTGCGACCAATGTCAAGTTTTGGCAGAATATTATTTATATGTAACAGCAACGTTCCAAACTATGCTGAATTCCATGCAGTCCCAAGTTGCCCCCCGTGGACACTAGCCGTACCCCACGTAAATTTTAATATTCCTGGATTTACAAAAAAGACAGCTCAAGCTCAACCAGCCGTACTGCAACACGTACTAAACCTTCTACATGACAAATACCGTAACAGTACTCATGTTTACTCTGACGGGTCGACGCACTCGAAAAGCTCATCATCTGCAATCGTCATACCCAGACTAGGTGTTGTGGAGGCACTGAAACACTGTCGAGTTGTCTCCTCTACCGCAGCAGAACTCTGTGCGCTGAACATGGCCCTCTTCTACATTAGCAAATCTAGAACGAGATCGAGGTGGACGATATTGACCGACTCACGAGCGGCATTACAAATGCTACAGCGGTCACCTTTAAAATCATCAAATCCAGTGCTGGTTATGAAAACACTTTACAACTATGCCGCAGCAACAAACAAGGGTCATACAGTTGATTTTTAATGGGTACCCGGACACACAGGAATTCCTGGGAACGAGTCGCCTGACGCTGAAGCAGAAAATGCGCATAACCTTGCTCCATCTGAAAACATTCCTTTCACTCGACAAGAGGCTGCAAGACATGTGGCATCATTCGGTGAAAACACTTTCCTGGGTGAATGGTCGTCCACCAAAAACTGCTACCCATACCTCCATCAAATCAACCCGGGACTAGAAAACTCTATTCCTAAAAAATTACCTCGAAATGTGAACACTTGTTTGCATAGCTGTCGCTTGAATTCTGCTTTCACAAATATTCAGATGCACAAATTCGGGTTTATTTCAAGTCCGAACTGTTTACAATGCAACATCCCTGAAGACCTCCACCACGTCATCTGTGAGTGCGAGTTGTTTAACACTGAGAGACGCGCACTTCACGACACTATTCAGAAATTAAATAGCGATCCATTCAGCCTAAACAAGATCCTCGGTCCTTGGAACGATCAAAAAAGCCAACAAAGGGCTATAGACGCCTTAGTGGTTTACCTAGAGAAAACAGACCTAATTAACCGTCTTTGATTTAAATTTCTTACCCAAATAACTTCTAGCTCTTGATAAGGCAGGGAAGTGACGCTGTGTGCAGTAGATACTTTATGAGGCGGAAACGGCAGGCACTGAGCCCCATCTTTATTTACTGTAGGAATATCTGAATATCTGTTTCATTGTGACATCTCTTATGTGACGGTCTTTTAAAGAGTCCGGAGACCTCACGGTTGAACTCGACCGAACACAATGTTGAATGCTACAGACTGTTATACATGAAAATGGGACTGTCGCATTACAAAAGCGATCTTTTTTTTTTCTTTTCATTGAATACATATTTACAAATTCTCATTATTCTGTGATAACTGATTTTTTGCACCAGACTGTATGCGCTTTTGCTACCTTTATTTTTTCCTCTTCCCTGTCCCCTGTTATCCCACTCCCCATCCCCACGCAGAGTAGCCAACCGAGACTTCTTCGGTTAATTTCTCTGTTTTTTCCTGATCATGAAATGAAGACTGACGAAGAGCCTACCAGGCTCGAAACGCATCTGCAGATCACTTTTTTGGCGACCTTGGACGACCATCCCCTATAAAGGCAAATATTTTGTGAATATATATATATATATATATTACTGAACGGGGAAGGAGGGGGAGTGTGTTCAATTTCGTAGATATATAAACTACGAAACTAATGCAGGGGTCCTTGGCGTTCAGTACAACTTGGAATCAGGAGTTGTGAAATGTAGCAAAATGTTATTGATACTGTTTGCAAGCTTCCATGCGGATCCTTGAGTATTTTCTTTATTAATGGTGTATTAAAATATGTTGCTTTCTTGAATTTTTAAGTCATCACAGTAGACGATTTCAACACCCTGTATGATGTCGGAAGATCGATTTAAAGTAAAATTTATTGAAATATTTCAGGCTTTCTTTTTGTCGAAAACTAAATAGACAAATATGCCTACTTCAATGTCAAAACATACTGAAATTTAGATTTTTCATTGTATTACCATCTGACAACTTCATGGTGCATGTATGGGATTACTCATGGTTCGTTTAGATCCATATTTTGTTTTGTTTTATTCTCTATAAGCAATCAATCAATATAAAATATAGTGCGCATGACCAGATGGCTTATAGGGTCACCAATAACAAGAAAAAAAACTTTAACCGTTTTACGCATTCGTCTCAAGCGAAAACACGGAAAATATTATAAGCCAGACAAATCCTCTTAAGACGTACGATATCTCTGGCCAAGATACGAGAATATCATGACTCAGCTCTTCCGCTGGCTTAAAATAAAAATAAAAAAAAAAATCGAAGAAACCTTCGAGTACTGTAAGAGTATCCACAAGAATAAAAGAGTGAACTAATATATACTCAAATAAATAATATTATATAAATCAGGCCATCAACGCTCTAGTAAAATATCAAATAAAATTCGCCGATTTCAACGAAGCGCATCTGGAACGCCCCAACGCAGGACTGAACCTTAATTTCGATCACCTGTGGATTTGTTTACCTGCAGCCGAAAGCTTTGTGAAAACAACGCCTTCTCGGCAATAAGCCTCCGACAGACCACGGGCAACTCGACCGGGATTCGAACCCGCCACCGGGTGATCCATAGGAAGGCTCTTTACCTCGGAGTCACAAAGGTGGTACTCCTAACCGAGTTTAGAATTTGACTAAATATGTTGGTTGTAGATATAGAGGGAGCAAAGGTTAGATATCACGAAATTACTTTGCTTCTATCCAAAACACTTTGAAAATTATAGCGAACGCTGGGAAACATTGTAAGATTCAGTCCCTAATATTATTTCAAGCGAACTCGTAAGAAACGGTCAGACTTATTTCCACAAGTTGTTGGCTGAAAGATGAGCAACCGTTTTCTGACGGTGGCTGCCACTGTTCCCTTAATAATGAATAACCTTCACTACCAAACATTATAACCATGCACTCAACGCACTAAATTTTTACGCCCACGAATATGCTGAAAATCCGTCGTATGCTATATCATTGAGGAGAGGTTCTGCCTCAACGTGGTTGTGATGAACAATTTGTAGCCCTTTTAGATGCAATGAAAGGCCTGGTATGTTTCCCTTTGGACCATTTATGTGCAGCCCATGGTTTGCATCCGGCGCACGAGATGGCGTTGTCTACACTCTGCGGGGCGCGTGCGCGCGCGGCGCGACCCCACCAAGAGCAGGATTTTGACTAACGCACACACTCTCGCTCAAGCCGCTGGAGCAGAAGCCATGCCGGTTTACCTGGTTCTTTCAGACCCTGTTTAATTCATCTCATAACGTCTACGGTATTACATATGTAAGATAATTATTGAAACTGATATTTCCACATGAATTGAAAATGGACAAGATCTGTGTTAGGCGCAAAGGTGATACACTAAACAAAACTACATACCTACTTTAGTTCTACCGTTATTTGCAAAAATAGAGAAAGCAATTTTACATAAATTTTATCTTATATTTTTAACAAGGACACTATAACGACTTCTGAATATTAAATTCAAAACGGATAATGAACAAAATCAGCTTTGCTGCCCACGAGGGATAACATAATGGACAACTTGCATAGTCCAGACTTTATACCGTCAGATTATCCCTAGGCTTCGAGAACGCCCTTGACTTTAATAGGCGCCATAGTTTTCGTGGAAAACTACAAGGGTATGGTATTCGTGGAATATACTTCTATCTTATAAAACCTATTTATGAACCATAGCATAATTAATCATTCTCAATAAGTTCATGTCAAAAACTTCCTACTTACAGTATGGTGTTCTGCAAGGTAGATTTAAAGAACCAATGATATTTATTTATTATATCAAAGGCGTACCTAAGGCACCACTAACTCCCGATAATATTTCGTATGCTGATTATACCACCATGTGTTTTTTCTGTTTTTTTTTTTTGGGGGGGGGGGGGGTAACAATCATGAGGAAGTTAAGTCAATTGCGTAAACTGGCCTAATAAATTGTCATTCTGGCTGCATTCTAATAACATGAGGTGTAACACAAACAAAGGGAAATATATGATATTGAGATGAAAAATACATGTCTATATATATTTCTTACTTTCAAAATAAAAGTGTACTGTGGCGCAAAAATTTCAGGAAGCCAGACTTGCGGAAACATAAAGCTCAACAAGTCATGTAGGTGCCGCCTTAAATTGGATGCCTTAACAAAGCAATTCCTCCATTACCAAGTTGTCTTAATCTGCCACTTCATGTAAATTACTATCTTGTATAATCCCGGTAGAAAATTGTTTCCTACATTGGGGAAGAATGATGGGAACAATGAAGAACAATTCATTTTACATTGAAGGCCGTTAGGTTTATAGAAAACGTAGGTAAAGTCCAACATGCAGCACTTCCATTTGAAAAACACTAAGCACTACTCGTTAAAAATGTTCACTTACCTTATCATAAGTTTTATTTGAATCAAATAATGCGTGCAGAATTTTATTTATTCAGCACCTATAATCTGCGGAACACGCGCTCATAAACTCGCATTATATTAAAGCAATTGTTATAAGAATATAAAAAAATAAACTAAACTCCCCAAACTCGTGTTGTCATATAAAAAACACTAAGAGATAGTCAAAGAGTACCAAAGCATAACACGCTTTACATCTTTAAAAATTGTAAAAGCGATTTATCTCACAGTGAATTCCTAACCCCGTTTAAATGTTCCATGCATGAGACAAATAATTGCCATCTCTCCGTAGAACGTTAAGTTGATATATCTATACTACTTGTTACACTCGATTCTTAATAATAAAGTGGTTCATCGCTTTTTTGTGTTGTTTTTGATAGCGCAACGTTTCCACTACCATGTCCACCTTTTCAAAAGTCTGAACATCATCGCCCTAAAGTTCAGAAGGTAACCGCGACTCTTGCATGAACTTAGTACAGCCTGTTGAATATGCATTTAATGCGTTACTTCGAGATAGAGAAAGCGGCGAAGCACGGTTTCTACTCAATGGCTGAATGAGACCTCGTGTAACGTGGCGCTAATTTCCCCTATAAATTGAGCGAGAAAACTGATGTTAATGAGACCCGAAACAACTATTGGCCAACTTTGAAAACAGGAAAATGCGTTTGGGCCGCACAGTCGATACAAAATACTCTGCAAGTTATTGGTTTGCTCATCGACGTCTTTCACTTTCCACCGTACTTTCGGAAACATACCTGCGCCTCCTCCATGTCGGGGTGCGAGTTGAGGATATTCTCGATCTCTAGTGGCGGCACTTTTAAACCCATAAAGTTGATCACCCCTTTCATGCGGCCCACAAATGTCAGCCTGCCGTCCTCGTCCATTGTTCCCTCGTCCCTGGGAACAGGTGTTAAATAAGAAAAACAAAATATTTGAACGCAGCAATTTTGATTAATTCTATTTTAACTTTCCTCGAGTCTTGAAGACATTACAGATTACTTTTCGTTTATTCAATCAATTTCAACAATATAACATGAATGAATAAAAACACGATGTTCAAACAAACACTGATATTCTAACATTTTCTTTGAACGAAAGGGTTGAGGCACTCAGGTTACTTAACTTTATTCCGCAAAAACAATATTTTATAGCTGTATTTACACCACCCGACACATTTAGAGTGACGAGCGTTTTCGAATGCGTTTCTATTTCTACACGTCGGCAGCGGTATAGAAACACGTAAACACGTTTCGAAATAAGACAAATAAGTTTCGAGGCGTACTTCTTGCTCTAAAACTGTTTCTTTTAGAGCGCAGCTCCTAGGCGCCCGTTTCCGGCTTGTCGCCGTCGCCGTCGCCGTCGCCGTCGGTGTAACCGCGCGCTTTGCATTATGGGAAAGTTAGCATGGAAATTTTCCCGCTAAATTTAGCGGGACATTTTTCTGCTAAATTAAGCGGGTTAGGGTTTCCGCTAAATTTATCGTGGAAATCGACGTCACGTCGCCTCAACACTAATTCAGTTTCCCCGCTAAACTTAGCGGGGAAAATCACGTCACGACTTCGTGACGCGTCACCTATGAACAAATTCAGCGGCAGGTGGAGAGAGGGGTGGGGGAGGAAGAGGAGGGGGAGAGGCGGAAGAGGGGAGAGGAGGAAAAAGGGGGGAGGAGGAGAGGTGGGAGTATGGGGGAGGAGGAGGTGCATACTTTCCCCTGCATACCCTTCCCTCCTCCTCCTCAAGAGCAGCGCTCTGGTTTCGCATTCCAGGGATTTGTAAATGCTTCAGTTTTTAGGGGAAAGATAATTTTGTTATAAACGTGTCTTATCTATGCAATTGAAAACGTATCTTTCAGATTTCCGCCTTTGGTTAAGAAATCAGAGAATCCAAGTTGCCTAAATCGTCAGGCAAAAAGAAACAATACCTGCGAAAGTGCAATTCTAAACACGGCACTATGGGTAAAAAAAAACATAAAAATTAGAGGTGCTACGATATGGGATCTCCATTTTCAGCTGCCTGAGCGAATTGTTTCCACTAAACATATCGCTATTCCTTCAAGACGGGTGTAACTCTACCCAAGGAAATATTACCAAAAGTAACAACCCAAGGTAAGGAACAGTGGTGTGCAAGTTCAGTAGACACTAGAGTGTAGAACATAGGATTATCCAGGAATTGGACTGCAACGGACCTTCTGAACACGCGTTTCTAGAGTAACTAATCGACCGATAATTCAAGATAGCAAAGATTATTAACGAGAAAGGGATTATCAATGAGAAAGTGTATTAACTTGAATGTCCATGAGCATATTGATTCAATATGCAAAATTTCTACTTTGATTCACAATATATGGATGAAGATGATTGCGTGGGCATAAAAAACCGGATGAGTTCTATCTTGGAATTTATCACAGGTAGGATCCCATTTGCCGAAACCTCTAAATCGCCAGTGTCTCCACTTTGGTGACCCTGACGTCCCAGTATGGAAGAGCACAACGATCAACGAGCTAGTAGATGTTAGGAAGATTGTTTTCCCTGACCTCGATGGACCACCTTGAAGTTGCCATCGAGCACCAGGGGATCGTGGATGAAGCTAGTTGTTGGAGGGATGGATAAGTCGGGGATGATGCAGAGGCGACCGACAACTCGTTGGGTTAACGAAAACGACAAAACTTTCCTTCGATAAAAAAAAGAGAAATTAATAGTTATATAAAAGACGAGTGCGCACAGATACCGCGCTGTGATAAACTGCCGCGCACGGCTTACAAACTCCAGGGGACGCCTCAGCGTCAAATGGTCCCACCGCTCACGGTAAGGACGGTGACTGCCTTGTACCCGCGAAGACAAAGACGCTCCCGCGCACGACAGGTAACGCAGCGCACTGCGGGAGGTGAACGTAAGTTCAGCTCCCGCAGTGCGCTGCGGGAGCCCGTTCTAGAACTCAAAGATTTCTCTGTCCGGCCAGAGTTTAAAATAGCGTGCTCGAACCCGTCCAGGCCAATCAGGGTTCGACCCTGGTCCCATTGGCTAGAGTAACCAACGCACTTTCGACCAATTGGGTGGGAAATCATTGCTCCGAGAGTGAACCATAAGCCAAGCCTTGATTCTCAGAGCCTGATAATAAAATACGACTTATGGCTTTCCTATCTGCCACAGAAGTTACCCATTCGCGAACCACAGCAAAAACCACCGAGACATGTCGGCAGGGGAGCGTCTATGCCACCGCGAAAGGCCGTTGGCAACAAAGTAAAAAGAAAGACACGCCAGGCATATGCAGAATATACAGGGTGTTCTTTTTATAGTGTTACACATTCGTTTAAAAAAACCGTGAAAGCTACACTAATGCGGTTTTGTGCAGGTGGGTTATACGGTCAGGCGGACATTATGTGGGTGGCTAATCCTTGCACTAAGTCGATTAATTAATTAATATTTGTCAATTAACTTTTTAATTACTGAAAATAAACATATGGTTTCAATTTGAAACTTGCTGAGCATCATCGAAAACACCTAAATCAACTATTTTTAGCAGGATATAACGCCGGGGCAGCATTTTACGGCATTCTGTAAAAACGCTCCATTGGGATGCGTTTCTAGATTTCGGTTTCTTATCGGAGCTCATCTACACGTCCGCGATCCTGCTCCCCGGTGGTCGCGGCGCGAAGCCACCTCATCGCCTCCCTCGTAGAATGGAGGGAATACGGCGCAAGTCTGTTGCGCGTCTCAGCCACTGGGGAGCAGGACCGCGGGCGCGGTGATGCGTTCCGATAAGAAACCGAAATCGAGAAACGCGTCCAAATGGAACGCTTTTACAGAACGCCATAAATGCTTCCCCGGCGTTATATCCTTCCAGAAACAGATGATTTAGCGGTTTTCGATGATGCTCTACAAGTTTCTAATTGAGACCGTACGCGTTTCCACTAATTAAAAAGTTAATTAACAAATTTTAATTAATTAACCGACTTATCGCAAAGATTAGCCACCTACATAATGTCCACCTGGTCGTATAACCCACCTGCACAAACCGCATTAGTGTAGCTTTCACGAATTTTTTTAAACAAATGTGTAAGAATAAAAAAAAAAAAAAAAAACTGTATAGGGAGCACCTTCTCCCCGGGCGCCACGGAAGAGTTCCGAGACACGAATCCGAGAGCTCTAAAGCACTTTGTCTACCAGCAAAGGAGCTGGCGACCGGTGACGTGTTAATAGGGAGTTGTAGTAGATCGTTTTTCTCCCCCGCTACGTTATCCCCGAAGGAAACGCCGCAGCTGCGCAGGCGCGCCAGGCGCGCCGCCAGCCTTCTCTGCATAGTTTAAGGTCTCGTGGTGGATTACGGAGCGCTATCCGGGTGCTTAGCGGGCTGCGGAAACGGTCTACTACAATTCCCTAATGTCTCGGCCGTGCGTTCCCCGGCAAACCTTTACGTCTGAGCGCGCGTTTCAAGGTCAAGGGGTAGACGTACGCTGCGCTGAGACAACAGCCTGCCGTGGGCAAGTTAAGTGCTTTCTCGTGCGATTGAAAACCGGGGTTCCGCACAAAATGCAACGAAGAGAGCGACATGCCCGCGGTCTTTTCTTCGATACCGGGAAAAGCACATAAACAAGCAGAATTCCGACTCGCAACGGCACGGGACCCCCTGAAACGCGACACTCGTCTCCCCAAAGCGCCTCCTCATTCCCGACCGAAGCGTCAAAAGGCGGATAAAGACAACAGAGCAAGGGATGCTGTACTGGAGGTCCAAAACAAAACACCAAAGAAAGACGACCACCTCGACAGAGCTAATGCTGGACATCCCGCAACTTCCGCCGCAACCGCTGGCACCTACGCTATTGGCCTGCTTCCATTCTGGGCACATCACCCTAAAGGCTGATTCTTCAAGCCGAGGGCAGCTTCCGACTGGCCAACATTACAATCCAAAAGGTACGGTTCAGTCATGTCCAGACTTCGCCGCCCTGCGAAGTGGCGCTGGAGGTCTAAGACGTCCTCCAAGCTGAATTGGTCAGCCCTACTATTTCCACCTGTGGCGGCCCCACGATGACTGCAGAATTGCTTTACGTGGAGGATTTAGCCCGTCTGTTCGGTGACGTTCGCGCTACTCCGTCGAGGACACGCCAGGACAAGCCTTCCTTCGTCCATCCGGACCTGCAGAAAAGCGGCTACGTTTTTTTGCGCGTCAACGCGTCCGCCGTTCGCTGCAGCCACCTTACATTGAACCCCGCCTCGTCGTGGCACACTGCAAAAAAGCATTCCCGCTGCGGGTCAATGGCCGTGGCACAGTCGTGTCCGTCCACCGCCTCAAGCCGGTATTTTTTGAGAGCGATACGATCGCTCAGCCGGCTGATCTTTTTACCGTGCAAGCTACCTCATACTCCACAGTAGCCTCCGCGACCCGCATCAAACACTCCATGAAGATTCACTCGTCTACAAAGGCAGGGCTATGCTGCGATAGCCACTGATGGAAGAAGAAGATTCCGTGGGAATAAAAAGCCGGATCAGTTAGATTTTTTATTTATGAGAGTTAGAGGCCTTTCGTCACGCTTTCCAGATATCCGTGGCAAGGTAATTCCAAAATGGCGATCCGGAAACCGATTAGTTGTTCCAAAACCAAAAGACGTAACTAGTAATTCATCAACAATGCCATTGTTCAAGACTAGTTTTATAGAAACTGAGCGACATATATGTAACGCAAAATATTGAATATATATTGCAGCTATACGGAAACAATATTTATGAAATATGTTTTGCAAATGCTGCATAAACAACCTTCTTCGAATGAGAGCGTAGGGGTGCATAAGAGAAATTTTTCCTTCGTTTGCACCTTTCCAAGTGCCAAAATATAATCACGAAAGACCCGTTTAATATATCTTCATTTATAATATAAAAATCCCCAATACTATACCGAAATACTCAAAGATGTTCTCCAGGGCGAAGGTCATTTTCGAGAAAGTGAAGATGACCTATGGTCATCTACACTTACTCATACAGAAATATTGACTGCTCCATAGGCTTTCAGATATGGTAGAAGCTAATCCTTACCCCATAGAGTATCCCATATATACTATGCTCCTAACTTCTTTTAACTCAACCACAGTGAAAAATACAAGATTTTTTTTCATTTAGCGTGAATCTGGATTTTGTCTGCCTTCCACACACGCGGGGGCATTACATATGAAAGAAAATATGAACTGAATTTCTTTTGGAACGCACGCGTGGTAGAGTGGCGCGTTTCACACTTAAAGTTGGTAAATAAACAACACGTTTTCGTAAACCTGGCATAAGAGGGCGTTCTAAAAAGATATTGAGGGAGTGTGGAAATTGTATATCCTTCTACTGTGGGGTTTTCAGCGTGCCAAAACTTCGGGAGGCGGAATGAGGTAGGTATTTATTGCTCTATCATATCTTATACAGCATACAGCTGGGTGAAGATTTGGAATGATGTGGCGTTTTCTGTAAAAAAAACAAAAAAAAATATTTGCAGGCGCAGTATAACGTTTCTTGGACGCTCGAATATTTTAGGAATATTTTGCACACTTTTTCGTGCCAAGTAATGGACGCCAAATATTTTACGCAGGGTTCAAGAGCGGAGCCCGACAAACTCCAGGAGATGGCGACATCGAGTTGTTCGAAGTGTTGGCCCCGCTCCGACGTCCGCAATCGTATGGAATGACTTGCACGTTCCTCGATGGAGTCGCTCCGCCATTGTGCAGCGTTTCCGACCATCTAATAATCGGCACGTGGCTTATGAAAGGGGTCTATTTTAACACGTTGCCAGGGCGTGCTGAGAAGTCAAAGCGCTGTGCTTCTGAGATGCGCAGTGATAGCAATGCACCGTCATTGTTCGTGGCTTGCAATCCGAGCTGCGCAGCCTGTGCAGTGCCGCGCCACTGTCCGACACTGAATGGGTTTCCTTCGCGTTCTTCACATCTGCGTCCAGTTAGGAGGCGGGTTCAATCGCCTTCTGAAATGTTCAGTGCTTATCTTCAGTGGACAAGTGTCTCTGAACGTCAACTCGTTAAAGTCCACAGGCAAAGCGGTCTTGGAGTGACTCACTTAAGAGGGTTCCGAATTCGCACGTTTGTGAAGGGCGTCGTATCTCGGCTATGAACTGTGAAATGGCTTCGTCTTCGTACTGCAACCGATGGTGAAATTCAGCTCGCTCGCCAATAACAGACGCTCTGGGCGACAAGTGGCCACGAAGTAGTTTAGGCAATGCGTCGACAAAGAACGATGGGGTTTCCGGAGCGGTCAAAGACCTGGCGAAGGAATAAGTTTTGGATCGATCAAACTCACTAAGGCGTCCACTTGGAGGTTTTTCGGAACTATGTTGGCACGAAAATAGGCTACCAAGCGCTCCTCATATTAAGGTCAGTCACTGGTAGATTCGTCAAACTGTTCTACTTGTCCAATACTTGTGGCCCTGGCAACGGAGTCGACGACGTTCTCGACGCAGTTCTAACCTAGTGGTGCACGAAAGCACCCGCTGGCAAAAACTCTGTGTCAAATGCCCCGCGGCACACGCCGTGTCCATTTTGCCCCTCATTCAATAGCCCCAGTTTAAGAAGCCCATCACGCCAACCTTCGTGTCAGGTGGCCGGGTCTGCAATCTGACGGCGGGGCATTCTGCTTCAAACAAAGCGTGCACGCGACCATGTGTAACATAATCGTGTCTTTCCCTTGTAGGAAGCATTACGCATTAGCCAGCATGGAGATTCGAACGAATGATTTTATTCCACGCGCTCCGCGCTCGTGCTCAAAACGCGGCACCGCTGGGAGACGTGGCGCCATCTATCGCTAGTTACTACATCTCTTTTCTCTGGAAAAGTCAGCGTAGAGCGTCACCATCAACATGGTTGGGGTATCGTTGTGGTGGCCTTCTTTTCCTTGTTCCTCTTCGCGGCCGCGGTCCCGGGTGAGGCTGACTCTGGTTAAAGTCACTGGGACTCTCTTCCGTGCAGGCTGTGTCTTTCCCCGTGGAGGTCAGCTCTCGTCGAGAATCCGTCGCCGTTCGTAAGTGTTCACGGGTTCTTCGGTGGACCCGACCCCCTGGGGTTAAAATGTCGTAGGACCTCGGCACTGAATGTCCCACGACTATGGCAGGTGACCATGTGCGCCGCAGGGTGTTGTAGACGGTGACTGTAGAACCCGTGTCAATGTCTGGCAGTGTTCTTGAGCTTCTATCGTAGTTCGCCTTTTGTTGCCGCCTTATTTCTGTGAGACGACGTGTGACAGCCTTGGGTGGCACAACAGTCGGCAGGTAATGTTCCGATCGCGCAGGTAACAGTGTTCTTGTGTGTCGGCTCATCAGTCTCTGTACTGGCGATTGGAGGACATCGTCTCGTGGAGTGTTGCGCCACTCAAGGAGGGAGCGGTAAAACTCTTCAGTGTTGGCACTCTTTCGCAAGAGTTGTTTGGCCTGTCTCACGGCTCGTTCAGCCATGCCATTTGATCGAGCGTGGTAAGGGCTTGATGTAACTTGTTCTATCTTCAGGTTTTCCAAGAACTGCTTGAACTCCTGGCTGCCAAATGGTGGGCCATTGTCGCTTATAAGTTTCAACGGCAGTCCATGTGTTGCGAATACTTTAAGGCAGAACTCTTTGACTTTGGAAGCTGTGGTACTTTTCATTTCTTCTACCTCAAAATAAAATGAGTAAAAATCCACCAGGATTATGTAGTCTTTTCCTTCATGAGTGAAGAAATCGGTCCCGACCAACTGCCAAGGAAGCGTTGGCAGTGCGTGGCTGAGGAGTGGCATCTTGGTGTTTCTTGATTTGTACTTCTCGCATTTGCTGCATTTGTCATGTTCGCGGTCAATGTCAGCGTTGATTCCGGGCCAGAACAAAATTTCTCGGGCTCTTCTCTTCATTTTGTCTTTGCCCGCGTGTGCCGTGTGGAGCAAGTTGAGAATCTTGGATCTGATGGCCGTTGGAATTATTATCTTGTTTGACCGCAGCACAAGGCCGTCTTCCTCGTGGATCTCCTCTCTGTAGGACCAGAATGGCCTTCCGAGCTGAGGAACTTGCTCTTTCTGCTCGGGCCATGACGTCTGTGCATACTCGCGCAGTAGACGCATCTGGACATCGGCTGCAGTTGCGTCTCTTATTTCATTTAGCCGATCTTGTGTGACAGATATGTGCTCCAGTGAATTGACTTGAAATTTCTCTTCTTCTTCTTGCATTGTTTCCTTCGTGGGAAACCGTGACAGTGCGTCCGCTAACTGCAAGTCTTTTCCAGGTATGAATTTTACTTCCAATGAGTATCTTTGGAGAGCCATCTTCATCCGCTGCAGTCTCATCGGGCACTGATGCAACGGTTTCATGAAAATAGCCTGTAACGGCCTGTGGTCGGATTCTACTGTTACGTTTGGTTGGCCGAATATGTAATGGTGGAACTTGCTGCAACCATGAACAATGGCCAGCATCTCTTTCTCGATCTGCGCATATTTCATTTGTGCGGCTGTCAAAGATCTCGATGAGTACGCTATTGGTCTTCCGTCTTGGGTGATAACGGCCCCTACTCCGTATTGGCTTGCGTCGACTGACAGCGTAATCGGCTTTTCTGCAGTGTAGTAAGCCAGCACTGGTGCCTTCGTCAAAGCGTCTCGCAGGTCTTCGAAACTTCTTTGTTGATCTACCGTCCATACCCATGCTATCTCTTTTTTCAGCAGTTCTCGTAGTGGTGCCGCACGCTCGGAAAGTCGTGGTATGAAGCTCGACAAGTAGGTGATCATTCCGAGAAATGTTCGAAGTTCCTTGCGATCTTTTGGTTCATTGACCTCCAGTATGGCTTTGATTCTCTCTTGGTCAACAGCAACTCCATCTCCAGTCAGCACTTGTCCGAGGTAGCGGACTTCTGTCTTCGCGAATTGGATCTTCTTTGGGTTAAGTCGTAGATTCACTTCACGGCAGCGTTGGAGCAAGTGTCGCAGATTCTCGTCATGTTCCTGGCGAGTCTTTCCCCACACCAATATGTCGTCCATCACGACTGCTGTTCCGGTGAGTCCATCTAGTACTTCGTTCATGACACGCTGAAAAACTTCAGGTGCTGTGCTTATTCCGAAGGGCATTCTCTTAAACCTGTACCTTCCATACGGAGTACTCATGGTGCACAACTTTGAACTCTCTTCATCAAGTTCGATCTGCCAGAATCCCGAGGATGCGTCTAGCGCAGAGAACACTTTCGCTCCCGCGATTCGAACGGCAATGTCGTCCATTGTCGTCATCGGGTAGTGTTCTCTCCTCAGGGCTCGATTCAAGTCAACTGGGTCCATGCAGATGCGCACTTTGTCCTTCTTTGCGACAACTACCATGAAACTGGCCCATTCTGTCGGTTCTTTCACTTTTGTCAGAACTCCCTGGTTCTCCATTCTTTGAAGTTCGCACTTGACCTTTTCTTGCAGTGCCACAGGCACCTTCCTGGCTGGGCGAACGACGCCTTGTGAACCTGGCTTCACCTTCATGTTGTACACAAATCCCTTGACCTTTCCCAGTCCGCTGAAAACGTCTGCGTATGGTCCGGCAGGGTCACAAAGATTTGTATCTGCTGCATTTGTGTCTTCGTGTTCTCTTGACACAGAAGCCAGACGCTTGATCATTCCAAGTTTTTCACTCAGTTCTCCTCCCAACGTCACCGGTACCTCTTCCTTGACCACACAGAACTCCTCCTGGACAGCTCTGGCTCCATTCGACACTGTCAGTGTTGTTCTTCCACATGCTTTTTTCTTGTGGCCAAAAAACGATGATAGTGTGGTATCGCACTTCCGGACTTTTTTGTTTGATATTAGACGGATCAGTCTTTCTGGGATGACTGAGCAATTAGCCCCGGTGTCGAGCTTGCAGCGTACGCTATCTTTTTCTATTGTGACTGTCTCGCTCCATCGGTCTTCTTTCTCTATCCACCGCTGCCACCATGTAGGAAGCATTACGCATTAGCCAGCATGGAGATTCGAACGAATGATTTTATTCCACGCGCTCCGCGCTCGTGCTCAAAACGCGGCACCGCTGGGAGACGTGGCGCCATCTATCGCTAGTTACTACATCCCTGGACTCAAGTAAGAAATGACTGGACAAAACTTTCCGTTCTTGAGAAGAGAAGTAAACAGTTTTACGTCTTTCATAGTTAGAAGTGAAAACAGACAGAAAATGCCTCACATCGCAAAACGTTTCAAGTGAGAGCTTTTTTTCAATAAGCATTGAAGCAAAGCTTTAGTCGACTCTGAAGCAGGCGCGGACTCTCAGATCCAACGAAGTAGGGTCTATCACCGCTGTTAATCAACACCTTATGCAGCCATAATTATCATGACACCAAGCATCAGTTCTATTTTTCTTGTGTTGTTCTAAAAAGAAGTGTGTATTCATCTAGGTAAATCCAGTCTAAATCTACGTGTGAGCTCCCTTTATGACAGCTGAGTGCATTGCTGGTGATGCAGATTTATGCTATTGGCCACCTGTACATCATTCTAATTCTTTCAGCCGTTCAAGTTAGCCTTATAAATAGCTTGGAAGTGTCGCCATTGCTTAGTACAGACGTTTATTTCTGCTTACTGGTTTCTGCGAACAACAACTTCTGCGGTCTGCAAATAAGTCGGCGAACCAAACGAGAGCGGCGAAAATACCGGCATCGCCGTGAATGATGTAACCTGCAAGCAATCTATTGTGTCGTTCCCTTCAATGAGCCTTTTTATACCCTCAACAGATAAGTCTAAGACCTGAACAATGCAGGTTGAAGCGCGAAGAGGGTGAGTGTGATGATGTGGGAGAACCAACGATGAGGAAAACGACGTGCGTGAAAACTGTGAGTTGGACTGAGCAACGCTGTGGACTGAGCAAAGGACGATGAAGAAGATGTGGTGAACGTGGGGAAGATGGAAATGGTTAAAAGACAAAGAAGTTCAAGGCAAGAGTTTGATATACGGAAAAAAACGAAGACGACGACGAGAAGGGAAGAGGGGACACAAGCTCGTGACTCGTGAGAGGAGGGCGGGCACGACACTGAACCCGGCTCGACAGCGGTGGTCTCGGCAACCAAGGAGGAGCCCGAACGGACGAGTCCAGGCCCGTGGTGCTTTCACCCAAGCTCGCTGAGAAGCCTCCGCCTGTGCCTAGCAAGCAGCTGAACACTCCCTGGAGAAGATGAACGCCATGCCTACGTCGACGTGCACCACCGGGCCGTAAGAGGATGCGGCGAACTGAACTCTGTATATATATAGCCAAACCATTGTTTTCTAACTTCATGCTTATACGACTGTAAATAGTATCTACCTTCTTATATTCACCGCACTGGAATTCCGAGTCCTTTTAATTATTATTTTTTTTCCATCACAATTTGGCGTCCGCGAAAGGACTCTCTCTTCTTAAAATCTCATTGAGAGCAGAATTCCAGACGGTGCAGTAAGAAGAGTTACAGTATGAATCCTGATAAATTGCTATCGGTCGGGAGAGAGCTGGGGTATGCGGGCATAGAACTCCGCGAATGTGTCGAAAAAGAAATAGTCAGGCAGAAAGAAGAACGGGTCAGAATGAGGGAAGATGCAAGAAAGGCAGCTAAGGAAGCGCAAGAAACGGCTGACAGAGAAGCTCACAGATTCCAACAAGAACAGGCGGTGCTGCAGATGCGTCTTCAGTTGCGAGGAAACAACAGTTCACCTCGAGATGAGGATCCGCAGGATACTGGCAGTGGAGAAAACCCAGGGAGGTAAACATGTTGTCGTAGCCCTCATAAGTTAATCCCACCGTTTAATGACAAAAGGAATTACCTAGATGCTTACATCCGACCTTTCGAGCGAGTGGCGACCAGTCAGGAATGGCCCCAAGGAAAGTGGGCGATGTCCTTGAGTCTCTGCCTCACCGGTGAGGCCCTAACGGTCGTTGGAAGGATGACTCCCGAAGAGTCATTGGACTATTCAAAAGTAAAGCTTAGCCTGCTTCAGCGGTTTCGCTACACCGCAGAAGGCTACGGGGAAAAATTTCGGCAAAGCAAGCCAGAAGAGTCAGAGACCGGGAGACAATTTGCTGCTCGGCTCCTCGGTTATTTCGACCGATGGCTAGAGACGGGTGACACCATTAAGACATTTGATGGGCTCAGAGATCGCATGGTCGCAGAGCAGTCCTTAAGAAGATGTAGCACAAAACTGTCTATATTTTTGAAGGAGAGAGACTGCAAAACCCTCGAGAGTTTGGCAGTAACTGCAGACCACTTTTTGGAAGCGCAGGGCCGAACTAGCTTGTCTAGCTCGAAAGAAGAGGACCTAAGCCATAAGAATGGAGGTCGTAATAAAGAGGGTAGTCGATTGAAGGTTCCCACTAAGGGAGTGAGCCGATGTTTCCTCTGTAACAAGCCTGGACATAAAGCCGCAGAATGCCGGACCAGCTCCAGAGCTCAACACGGATCTGCGTGCTGGAGGTGCGGCAAGCCAGGACACAAATCAGATGGGTGTAACTGGAAGCCAGAAGATAAAGGTAGCAAGACTCCTCAGGCATCCTGTATGTTGACAGTCGCTGATAGCGAACATCCAGAAGAGACATATATCGTACTGAGAAGCGGAGAACAGATACCGATAGTAAATGCGGCACTCGGAAAGGCTCCACGGTTCCTGGTAGATAATATGCCAGTGGTGAGGGGAGAGGTGTGCGGTCGTCCGGTCACCGTACTGAGAGACAGCGGCTGCAACACGGTTGTGGTAAAAGGAGATCTGGTTCCCGATGATAAGTTCACTGGTGTCTCTAGTCCGGTTTTCCTACTTGATAGGACTGTAAAGTACCTGCCAGAGTCAGAGATAGAGGTGAGAACTCCATTTTTTACGGGCAGTCTAACAGCCAACTGCATGGACTACCCGTTGTACGATTTGGTGTTAGGAAATGTTCATGGGGTGAGAGGAATTTATGATCCCGATGAAGAATGAAATGACGAGGGAAGACTAAGCGGGTCTCAACTGAACGAATAGAGACAGACTTCCAAGGGGACGTCAGGAAAAAGTGAGACTGTCGAAGGACTCGTTCTTGACGAGAGTGGAAAAGAAGGCTGTGGCGTGTTGGTGCCGGAGATTAATTCTGCGGGAGCACTGAAGAGAGTAGCCGGCAAGGAAAAAAATTCCCAACTACCAGTTATGACGCTCGAACCGACGGGAATTGACCACAACAAGTTGAAACTATCTCAACGTAATGACGAATCGTTGAAGAA